AGAATATGGATGAATGAAGGAAACCTTGTATAGTGAAACCAGAAGTAGGTTTATAATAACAGGTATTTTAATAACAGTTTTTCCAATTATATTTTTAGCAGGGGAAAGTTTAATAATTATTCTTAAAAGATTACATGCAGCTGTTATAGTCACAGTTCAAGAATTTTTGTTCAAGATTTATACAGGGTGTTCTAAAAATGTTGAAGGTCCTTGAAAGAGGAGATTCGGGAGGTGATTTGAAACAACTTTTTCCTTACCGAAAATGTTGTCCGAAGCTTCGTTAAAGAGATATTAAAGAAAAACACGCCCGGCCAATCAGAGCGCGAGGATGCCAATGAAGCGCCCGCGCTAAGCGACCACCCTCCGCCATCATCCTCGCGCTCTGATTGGTCCGGGGTTTTCTGTTAATATCTACTCAACGAAGCCTCGGACAACATTTTCGCTAAGGAAACAGTTGTTTCAAATCACCTCCCAAACCATCCCTTTCAAGGACCTCTAACATTTTTGCGGCACCCTGTACATACGAGGTGTTCATTTTCGTCGTCTCCAGTATACCTTTTAGTATAGGCGATGGCGCGCGGTATGGAAGTAGGGTTGGCGATATTAATCGGATTGCTGGTGGTTTTTCGTTGCCTTGGTACCGGCGACCCAGTTATTGGCGTTGAACATTCGGAGGATAGTCCTGAATCACGGCCTTCTTCGCCGTTTAGATTCGTTGCGGGGCCAAATGCGTTTTCAACGACTGCGTTTGTACTTGCGACACCAGATCTTCCAGACACCATTGTTCGTTTCTTCGCGCCCTTCGACGCCCCGGACATCGACGACGCCATTATACTCGATTGACTGCATCAGGTTATATCGAAATGTTGTTTCTTGAGCAACGTCTGTCACACTTTTGCTGCGAATTCACTATCACTTTACGGATCGGTAGCTTATAGGCTACTGATAGATATTAATAGCTATTAATAGACTTTTTATTATAGCAACTAATATTTTGCTATCTATTACTGAGGTAGCATTGTGTGCCTCCATTATTATATGGATTGTTTAAAATATTGATCGAAATATTATTCAGATATTATTCGGTGATTGTAATTTAATATGTTAAGAATATCATATTAAATTTCTAGAGGGATATTTCAAGTATTTCCAATGTTATTGTGGATGAGCGTTAGAAGCTTTCGTGAGCCGAGACCGACTACAGGTATACGGCCGAGGCTCAGCGGGTCAGTCTTTGCTCTGCGCGCATTTTAGATTTAGCGGACCATCCGAACCCTCAACGACTTCTCAGGTAAGACGACGACTCAGTGCCTACTTGAGAGTCATAAAAGTGGCTACATCAGGAAAGTTCGGGCCACGGAGCGCCCTGACCATGCGGCGGCCAACTGTAGGGTTGTCAAGCATTTGCCGACCAAATGTTTCCCTACAGCTTGGCCATTTATCTAGAGACGCGGTAGCGTCTCGACGCCAAGTTCATGAAAAATTATACAGCCACCCTGTATAACGTGGCGCTACTGCTTATCTTTTACAGGAGAGATGGTCCATTCTAACCTAAATTGAAACTTCTTTCATTAATATCTCATCACGCCTGCAATATTTTCTAAATTTAAACGCATTTTTCTTATGTAACTCGCATACAGGCTTTCGAATAAAACCAAAATCAATAAAATCGGTCTATGTACAACTGAGATATTGTAATATTATGTCATGAATCGGTCAGAAATTGTAGATTTTTCTTCTGATTCTGATTCTTATTTTTATTCTTTTCGTCAACACTCAGCCAATAGGAGCTAAGACCATTCATCGATTCGTCGACTCTCGGAATCAGTCGGCAAAGCTCGACTGCTCTGTCAGAATTGTAATATGGCTGTCACTTATCCCATTTCTAACCTGTAACTGTCAGTTTGGATTTGTGACATTTGGTTTCTTGCAACAAGACTTTCTGACATGCATTGTGCGTTACCAAAAGTGGATCTCTTTCTTTATTTCTCATTTCATGTTTAACATTTCAATTTCTAGCAGCAAGACATTTTGCGATGCGTTGTGTGTACTTTGGAAACATAAAAGACTGAATCTGGTATTGTAATATAATAAATTGTGCGTTATTCATATGACATTAATTTTATTTGTAAATAACACATACAAACCTTATTTTACTTGCAAATTAATGTGGAGCTTAAAATAAAAATACATTTGTCTTTTATTATAGTAAGTGTAGAGTCTACAATATACCTAATGTGTCTGAAGCCAGATATAGGAAAGAGACCAGCTTCAGTTCTTTAAGTTTCCAAAAGTATACAGAACGCATGGCAGGATGTCTCACTGCAAGAAATTTAAATGTTAAAGATGAAGCGAGAAATGAAAAAAGAAATCCACTATTTGTAACGCACAATTAATCGTATTGCAATATCAGTTTCAGTCCTTAGAATTTTCAAAAGTACACAATGCATGGCAGAAAGTTTTCTTGCAAGAAATTTAAATAATGAGAAAATGAACAGAGATCCACTATTTGTAACACATAATTTATTGTATTACAATAATATATAAAAAGAGAGGTCAGACTTAGTCCTTTAATTTCTCAAAAGTACCCACGACACATGACAGAAAATCTTGTTGCATTTAAATGTTACTGATAAAGTGATTACATTTTTTCTTTAATAAATTTCTTATGATGAGACTTACTGCAATGCGTTCCGCATACTTTTGAAACCTTAAAGGATTCAAACTGAACTCCCATTTCCTATTATTGGAAGTCATTCACTATACAAATTATCTTTGTAAAAAGAAGTGAGATCCCCATAAAAAAACTTCAAAAAAGTAAAAAAATTACGCCAAGTACATGAAAAAGTGGAGGACTTCAAGAGTAATCATAGAAAAATAGAACATCCCCCTAAAAAAATTCAAGAAAGTAGAAAAAGAAGTGAAATCGAAATGAGCTGCCAGTACATGAAAGTGCTTTCCAACTATGCGCAGCTAAAATGCTGTGTTCAACAGTGCAGACGTTCAGACCCTAATGACAACTCATGTGAACTGACTGCTCCGCACTTTGGCAGTGAAATGAAGAAGTTAAATAGCGTACCACCACAAACTGAGACTGTTTAGACATTTGCCTAGATGTCCGTTGCCTGGAAGTCAAATGCTTGGCATGGGCAGGCATGGTCAAAGTTTTGATGAATAAAAATTATTTTAAAATGTAAAATAATGAAGAAGTACTCATATTGTCAGCGTTTTAAACTGACAAATTATCTGAAAGCTTGCAAGAGTAAAGGTATTGGCATCGATGAATGATCTTAGAAATATTTTAAAACCCGATACAATGAAAGTGTACTCATAATATTGTCAGAGTTTTAAATTGACAAATTACCTGAAAGTCTATGAGAGAGAAAGTATGGGTATTGATGACATAAGTATGCCTTGCCTGGCCACGCCAAGCATTTGACTTCCAGGCCACGGACATCTAAGCAAATGTCTAAACAGTCTCAGTTTGTGGATGATACTCTATTTAGCTTCTTCATTTAACTGCCAAAGTGCGGAGCAGTCAGTTCACATGAGTTGTCATTAGGGTCTGAACGTCTGCACTGTTGAACACAGCATTTTAGCTGCGCATAGTTGGAAAGCACTTTCATGTACTGGCAGCTCATTTCGATTTCACTTCTTTTTCTACTTTCTTGAATTTTTTTAGGGGGATGTTCTATTTTTCTATGATTATTCTTTTTTATATATAACAGGTGTAAACGAAGCTGTTAAAATAGAAGAGGTGAAGTATGGCAAATATGCCGACGATATAGCGATTATTACACAGGGGAAAAACAATGAACAAACCACGATAAGAATAGAAGAGGGTATATCGCAGTTAGGTGACTTCCTGAAAGATAGAAAACTCGAGTTATCCATCGATAAGACAAAAACACTATTCTTTGGACAACAAACACCACAGTCAAATATTATGGTAAGATTAAACGATCAACTAGTTCCAATAAACGTAGTACATTCAGCTAAATTCTTACGAATAATTATTGATGATAAATTAAACTTCAAGTCACATTATCAGGAACTTATGATGAAAACAAGGAAAAGATTAAGTATTGTAAATTACCTATGTCACAGGGAAAGAGGAATAAAACAGAACCAGGCTTTGATGATGGCCAGAGCATTGATCACCTCGGTTATGGAATATGGAGCAGCGATTTACATGAACTGAAGAAAACAAATATATTTGCAAGAAGAACTCAGGAAATTGGAATCGAAAGCGATTAGAACGGCGATGGGTTATAGGATGTCCACACCGTTGAACGTAATGTACCCAGAGGCAGGATGGATAGGGCATAAAGACAGAGCACTCTTTCTGGCATGTAAATATTGGATCGGGCAATTAGAGAAAGGTACGAATCAAAATCCGACTTTAAAACTATTCGAAGACATATATGTATAACAGAACAAAATTCACACAGGAACCGGGATAAGAAAGGGCAACGTGAACATTACAAACAACCTTTCGAAGGAAGCTTTCAAAACACAAATATAAAAATGTAGATATACAAATATAAAAATATGATATTCGAAAGAGACCTGACAAGTGAAAGGATCGGCTATTGGAAGTGGTTCTTCAACATAGAACAACAACATATTGGAAATAAAGGATTAATCCTGGATACAACGACAGGTAGATTAATTGAAAATAAATACATCCCGATAGAAAGGACTGTAGATTACTTCAAATATGCTCATGATATAAAAAATGACGTAATCGTATATTTCACAGATGGGAGTAAAATACCGAAACATATTTCAAACGGTATAGGAATAATAACGATGCACAATAATTCGGTAGAGATCGAAGGAAAAGCGATAAATAATAAGTTCACGATATTCACGACCTAGCTGATAGGTATAAACATAGTACTGAGAAAATTCTTGAACAACGGACAGAGTTCAAACTGTCTCGTCTTAACGGATTCAATGTCGGTGATAGAAGCACTAAGGAATATAGAAACCAATTAAAACGAGTCAAGAGATAATCCATGGATCATCGAAACCTGGAAGTTAGGGAAAGAAGAAAGACCAGGTAAAATGGTAATAGGATGGATTCCAAGACACATAGGTATAAACGGCAACGAATTAGCTGACCAGGAAGCCAAAAGACAAACGGTAAAAATCTCAGATGGAAGCTACAAAGTGCCAGCGAAGGAAGTTGTTACAGAACTCAGGCAGAGTTTTTGGAATAAATTCAAAGAAAAAATGGTCGACATAGGAAGGGAGAAGGGAATTCTCTTCATGAATGAAATCGGACTAGAACACGGAAGAACAAAATACAGGCCCTGGTTCCAGAAATTGAAAAATGATCTGAGCAGAGAAACGATAAGAACCATCTCTAGAATTAGATGCAACCACTATAACCTGAAGGCGTCCTTAGCAAGGAAGTACATAATTGACAACCCTATGTGCGACTGCGGACAGGAGGAAGAAGACATAGATCACGTCATGTTCGAGTGCGGACTGTATAATCTAGAAAGAGAACTGTTATGGGAGAAACTAGAATCAGACATAGACGAAGTAGGAAGAACGACGCTAGGGTTAATCAGACTTAACAAACGTAGAATTCTCAAAACGATAGACAAATGTTTCTTATGTCCCTTAAAACGATAGGGAAGAAACTATGACTTTAAGGACTGAGAAACGTTAGGGATAAAAAGACTGATTAAAACCATATGGTAGGTGCAATGATAAGTAACGTACAAATAGTGATATTAACGAATAACAAAATAGAGTAAAATATACGAGACGTACCGACGAGATAGTAAGGGAAAAAATTAGAAGTAGAGATACGAAAGAAAGGTAACACAAAACATGCCCGAAATGAACATAGAACAGAAAACCTAGTGACTTGTTATATTATAAATAGGTTAAAAAAAAATAAAAGTAAAATTATATATATTTTTATGTATTATTCATATATTTAAAGTATATTCTTTACATTATCCTTTTGTTGTTAATAGTACAAAGAAAACCAAAAAGTATTACAAGATGTAAGACTTAGAACATAAGTATAGACATAAGATGTTACAAAGAGAAAAATGATATATATTTTTTGATAATATAAAAGAAAAAAAAACTATATACAATGTTTTTATATACGAGTATAAACAGAATACAGTACATAATAGTCTGAGATCTTACGCAAGTTCGACTTACAATATTTAATTGTAACAACCCCAAACTTGTTCCCACTTAGAGTAAGAAGTGTAAAATGTAAAAAGAAATAAGAAAAATACCTGTGATCCCATTAATTTATAGGCAAAAGTGCGTAGACAATGATAAGATAATCTTAACACAAATGTATTAATAGTTAATGTAATATGTAGCTGCGAGGTAAAGTAAAGAATATCAATGTTATGAGACCGGGAGAATGAACGATCTGTAAGAAAAGAAAGAATGAGTATAAATATCGAGCGAAGCATGAATGCAGTTTAAAGTCAAATATTCAGAGTTTGCTGAGGAATGAGAGTAGAATCTAAAAGAACATTGTTACTGGAATGGGAGAGCGAAAGAAAAATATTAATGAATAATATTGTTAATTTAAAAAAAAAAAAAAACCATTTAGTGAGTCAGGTATAATAAATAATTGCACGCAAGGGAATGAGTGGATTTAAAAGACTGTTAGAATGGAAGGATGAGAGTAGATAAAATCGGAAGAAAAGTAAAATGTCAAGCGCAAAGGAGTGCGCTTGTGAGTGAGAAAAGCTAGATTTGGACAACGCGCGCGGAATGGTAGACAGAAGTGCGAATGGCATGGAAGGATGCGAGTTGACCAATTAATAGGCGATAAGTAAAAAAAAAATGTAATTATACTTTACCACTGTAATAAAGACGCAAAATACGCAAATACGTGACTAAAGGGCCATCTGTCCCTCTATCTCCGGAAACATTTTGGTAGATAAAGAGACATAGTGTGCCCTCTTTAATTTTTCCTTTGTTACTTTGTTATTTCTTAACGGTCGTTTAGTCGTTAGCTGGTCGCCATACGACCTAAACGGTATGCAGCGATGAGCATTATGAAATGTGCGTTAGTGTTGCGGACTTTTCTATTATACTATTTCCATTTCCATTTTCATTTCTTAATTAAAGTTATATTAAACCATCATAATACTGTGGCGTGTGTTATTCAGAAGATTCACATCAACCTAATAAAAATCAAATACAATACAAATACAGTATCGTCTCGAAATAAGCAACTCGCTATCCCCACCTTTTTATTTGAAAACGCCCGCCGAGTGAGAGATCCGATAAGAAGCGAGAGGCACGTGAAAGGGAGAAGTCATGAATCTTTCAATGGCCGACTGAACAGATTAGTGGAAAAAGGACAGAATATGTGTAATGTTTTCAGCGCCCGCTGATTGGTCAGTGTTTTCTGTTAATATCTCCTCAACGAAGCCTCGTACAACATTTTCGCTAAGGAAAAAGTTGTTTCAAATCACCTCCTAAATCACCTCTTTTAACGTGTTACAACATTTTTGGGACACCCTATATATACAGAGTAGAGGAGATTTAAAACAACTTTTTCCTTAGCAAAAATGTTGTCCGAGGCTTCGTTGATGAGATGTTAACGGAAAACGTCGACCAATCAGAGCGTGAGTGTGCTGGCGGAGGGCGGTCGCCTAGCGCGTATCCCACGCCTATCGCGGGAGCTCCACTGGCATCCTCGCGCTCCGATTGGTCAGTGTTTCCCCTTAATATCTCCTCAATGAAGCCTCGGACAACATTTTCGCTACGGAAAAAGTTGTTTCAAATCACCTTCCGAACCACCCATTTCAAGGTCTTACAACATTTTTGGAACACCCTATATACATTCCATTCGTTCGATTTCACTAGTACTAAAATGAGAAAGCATTTGTTATCTTCTATCGTTCTCCAAAGAATAACACTCGTGCTCGAGCGATAGAATTTCAAAAAATTCGAAATGGCGGATCCAATATGGCCGACACGTATATTAAGAAGTTGTTACATTTTCACGAAACTTGGTATTTAAGAGTTATTTGGGCCGCGAATTACGAGTCTGGTATCAGAATTGCAAAATTCGAAATGGCAGATCCAATATGGCCGACATGTATATTACAAAGTTATTAGATTTTCATGAAACTTGGTGTTTATGACTTATTTGAGCTGCAAACTTTCAATCTTATATCGGAATTCCAAAATTCCAGGCCGCAAACTTTCAATCTTATATCGGAATTCCAAAATTCAAAATGGCAGATCCAATATGGTCGACATACATATTAAAAATATTAAATTATTATGAATTTTTTATGAAATAGAATTTTTAGGTTTATAGTTCAACATAGTTAGAATACATTGGCAGAAATAACAATAAAAAATTAATGTTAAATTAAAATTAAGGATAATGAGGTTTGATATAATGCCGCGTAAACAGTCTTCCTTTCCTTGTAAGCATGGACTTTAAATTTAAATAACTTAAAATGGCGCAAATTTGCGCAAGTTTTCTCAATTGGATATCATACCTGACATGTTACTTCATATCAAGAAACTTGGCAGAGCGTGTCACTCGGTGACTATCATGTTTGTTTTCCTTCCTATTCATCGAAAGATAACTAAAAATTATACCGTATTGAGAAGGGAATTATAATAATGAATCCAAAGATATTTTACTTTGTTCTTGTGGAAACTTTATGTTTATAACATCTACTTTTATGGTAAAATGATTTACATATGAATCTATTGAGGATAAACTTTCTGTGACACAATAAACATGCGCCACTTTTCACGATATCAAGGAGCATGAAATTTAAACCTCTGTATATCAGTAACCGATTACTATTTTTTAAAATTTTAAACGGCATTTAATACACTCGTATGTATACAACACACGCACAATATTGAAAAAAGTGTGTTCGAAACTTCAAAAATGCATTTTAGCCAGGTTTTCGGCCATTCGGACCACTGTTCGGTACAAAATACGGTACGATTTCTGTCGTACGACCAACCGCTTCGACGAGACCCTTCGACCGTAAGAATGGTAGTTGTATTATCTGTGGTGCGTGCTGACCACACTTCAGAACAACAAATGAAAAAGCCAAATTTGGTTTTGGACTATAATATGCACATGGGTATAATTAACCATACCGACCAGATATTACGTGGGTACGAATCATTTAGGAAAACACTGAAATGGTACAAAAAGTATTTTTTTTTATTTATTTCACATCGCTATATGTAATACACTAGCCATATGGAATTGTCTTCATGGAGGAAAAAGAAGTTTACATGAAATAACAGAAGACATAGTATTGGAATTACTCAAAAAATACCACAAATGGACGATAAGATGTAATCACTTTAAAGAATAGTTCGCTATCTACTCTGTGTAGCGAGTGAATGTTTGAATGAGTATGAAATGCGCGCCAAATAAATGAGAACGAATAAGATCGAGCGACAGGTGAAAAGTACGAATGATTGGTTAAGTGAAGAGTGAGAAGTATGTGACAAAGGAGCGAGTGAGAAGGAAGCACACGTATGATAATATGTATACGAGTTTAAAGAGAGAACGAGAGTTAGTTGGACGGCAGCCATCAAGTTGAAAATGAATACATTCTTAAAGAAATTGCAAAATTTTTATATTTATTATTAAATAATGCGTAATATTAGGAAATTAATCAAGTAAGTTTCACTTCCTAGAAATCATTTTTACATATCACGAATACGTTGTTACGGTAACGCAACGAATACGCGAATGGTAATTGATTAAACGAGCTTTCTTAATTAAATATAGTAGGCTACTCGACCACCGAGAGCTGTCGAGAAGTCTGCACCCTCTAGCACGGCTACAGATTTCACTAATTAGGAATATACACTCTCTACAGAGTTTTATACGCGCATACATTCGCAACGTTAAAAAAAAAATGTCTGCACCCATCAATTAAAACGTAATTACTCTTATATATGAACTTGAAAAAATGTTACATTAACGCTATCTTGAGTTGAAGTGATCTTTAAAAAATCTCAGTTAGTAATCGAGGTAATAATAATATTACTGGGTAATAATGCTACGAATACCGAAATGTATATTTTTCTAACCAAATTTGATATCGAATACTCTCTCCATGGAAATACTGGCTAAGTATGTTTGTGATACGTCTACGTGGAAATACTGTCTGAGTGGGTTTGATGTATTTGTTGTGGCGACGGGAGGGGGCCAAAATTGATTAGTGCTAATATACAGGGTGTCCCAAAAATGTTGTAACACATTGAAAAAGGTGGTTCGGGAGGTGATTTGAAACAACTTTTTCCTTAGCGAAAATGTTGCCCGAGGCTTCGTTATGGAGATATGAACGGAAAACGTCGACCAATCAGAGCGCAAGGATGCCAGTGGAGCGCCCGCGGTAGGCGTGGGCTACGCGCTAGGCGACCGTCCTCCGCCGGCATACGCGCGCTCTGATTGGTCGGAGTTTTCCGGTAATATCTCCTCAACGAAGCCTCGGACAACATTTTCGCTAAGGAAAAAGTTATTTCAAATGACCTCCCGAACCACTCCTTCCTATGTATTACAACATTTTTGGGACACCCTGTATATACAGTATATACAGCTCAAGTATATACAGTTTTCTCCATGAAAATACTGTCCGAGTATGTTTGATACGTCTACGTGTGATATGTCTCCATGGAAATACTGTCTGAGTATCTTTGTGATATTTAGTTGAATACAGCGATATGAAATACTCTTAATGCAAATATAATAATCCTAAAGCGGATATAATAATAGCACTAATTAAAGGTCATACTTTTTGTTTCTCGGTTAGAAAGTTAAACCTTGTTTGGTAATTTTGAAAGTAGGTAATTTTAAATTTTGCGCCGCCTACGAAAGTGTTGCATTATATTTAATAATTTAATCATATTCATCAAGAGCTGGTGAGTAATAATGCAGTTTTAATAAAAATTATTTCATACTTTTCAATGCATTTTGTCATACTTTTAAGCAATACTCTAGCTTATATCTAAAGCTGATGAGTATTTATATAAATTAACTAGAAATTATTTCATACTTATAGTACACTTTTAATCAGATTATATTTATATAATATTTCATCATTCATATAACGATTAGATCATACAATGCTATCTCAGTAATAAATAAACTATTGACTGCTATGATAAAAAGTCAACTAATAAACTACCTAAAGTATTAGATCAATTCCTAATAATAATAATCATAGTTAAATAACTGAAACGATGTTATGTTATGATTGTATAAAAAGTATTAAACCGTAAACATATGTTTATCATCTCTATTTCAAGACTAATCAAAGTTTGAGAAACACTGCAATTCAACTTCAAAGTCTAACTGCAAAATATATAAAATTTATAAATTATTATTAGATAAATTTTCTTTCTCTGAAATTCTATTGTCTCGAATTATTAATAAATTTAATATGAAACTGTTTTGCACTTCACGCTATTTATAAACAAAATGTATATTATTTCTATGCAATTAATATACTTTATTTTCTATCATTCTATTATGAAAACTTATTTTATTATTCTTATTATTTGCATATTATTCTTAAATTTGCATATATTGAATTTTGTAGGGCTACTCGCAACAAGATTGTAGCAAGTTTCGTTGAAATATTTAGCACAGCTGGTAGGTACACCGTTAGGTAGCATAATCGATCAAAGTTGGTCGCTAAAATCAACAGAGTTTCTTGAATTAACCTGTATAATGATTCACAACAAAAACTAAAGATCTTTGAGTGTGGCATAATTCAACTTAAAAAAGGAGAAGCTTGCTAAACGTTGCAAATTACCTAAAGAAACATCTGGCATGTTCAGCTTGACCAGTAAATAACAATCGCGTCCTTGGTTATTATTTGCCTTGCAACGTTACTGACGTTCTCGATGCTAATTTTAAAATCAAGCTTTCTCTACGTACTTTACCCACAGGCTAAACCAGTTTCAATCTCTTGCGAAGCTTACAGTGTCCAAAATTTCCATAAAGTCACCAATATTTTGACCAATTTTTTAAAAATATTATTAACTTTACTACTTTTTTCTCACCTACAATTACATTTAATTGATACTAATCACAAATCTAAGAGTATCTGCTCGGAAATGTTTACCTTTTGGGTGTGTATACATTTTTTGCTGTACGAAGCAAAATATAAGTGCAAAATTTCTATAAGGCCACTTAGTCTATGCTTAGATTCTGAGTTAGTAAGTCCAACTAGGTACAATAAAGGAAGTGAAACTCCAATAAAAAAGTAAGTATATGCATAAAAATCAAAAGCTGACAAAGAGACAGCATTCATTATTAATGTGATCTGCATCAAAAGAATTGAGAAGTGCAGCACAACTTCGCATTGAATTAAATTGGTCAGTAACTGCAAGACGTGTACATTATTAACGAAGAAATAAAAAAGATCTTGCTGTTAATTTCGAACCTAGTTATTTAAAAAATATATGGCTTTATAGAAATTTTGCAGTTTATTTGATATATGATCATATAATTACGTTTATTTCTTCAAATAAATATTATTTCTATTATATCAATCTATTAGGGGGACCAGAAAATAATGTCGTTCCTTTTACATTAAATTCAAACAAATACACGTATAACAAGTTTTTATTTTCGATCAGTCATGTAATCGTTCTCGTTATCAACAACCTTTTGCTATCTGGTATGCAAAGTTCCAATACCTGATCCATTAAAATCACTGGTATATAATGAGAAGATAAATGATACACAAGTATTGACATTCGCAAAAGCGACATTACTTTTGGGCCCTCCTAATATATACATATATGTGTTCTTAATACACCTAAAATGAAATCATACTCAAATTAATCATAAGTACAGAATAATTATAAGATGTTACCAAAAAACGTGGTGGCTTTATGGAAATTTTGGACACTGTACATATAAAGAAATTACCTAAACAACTTGAATCAACAAGTTCGCAGAACTAGAAGGCTCAAGGAAGGAACACACATTGTTTGAAAAATCAGTCACTGGTTCTCCTACCACCTCGTAGATACTAATATACATTAAATCTTAATATCCAATTATAAGTATTGACATTCGCAAAAGCGACATTACTTTTGGGCCCTCCTAATATATACATATATGTGTTCTTAATACACCTAAAATGAAATCATACTCAAATTAATCATAAGTACAGAATAATTATAAGATGTTACCAAAAAACGTGGTGGCTTTATGGAAATTTTGGACACTGTACATATAAAGAAATTACCTAAACAACTTGAATCAACAAGTTCGCAGAACTAGAAGGCTCAAGGAAGGAACACACCTTGTTTGAAAAATCAGTCACTGGTTCTCCTACTACCTCGTAGATTCTAATATACATCAAATCTTAATTCCCAATTACAAATTAACTTATACGTATTTGGTCCTGAAGATGTAATTACTCTGCAGATACTATCAAAGATTCACGCCAATCACCAATTTCCAAATCTCAATACCACGTGTCGTCAGCTGTATATTAAAATAATTGTTACGAAGGATAACGTCACGTCATTCTTAATCCTCAAATAGAAAAGAAAAACGGGTCAAGATACACTGCGTTTCTACATCCAGTCGAAGTATAGATATCTCATGAAAAAATGCCTCGGGAGACGATGGATTCGCGTATCCATCGAGTGTCGTCGACGAGTTTTCAGCCGACCATGAATCAAGGATATCTGTCACGAATCTATAGAGTCACGACACAGATTTAAATAATTTATTCAGTCCCCACTGTCGTTTGCGCAATGCAGCGTTCTCGAAATGCGTGCGCGATGCACTCCCGTGAATTTCGGAATCGCCATTGAGAGGGAGAACGCGGTTGTGTATCAGCACGTGACAAGACGGATACACGATAGAGACGGTCAAGAGCCGATTTCGCGCTCGCCGCTATCGGGATCGCGACGTAACAGACGCTCGGTGATGACTGGAATGAGAGCTGCAGCCGGCGGGCACATTGTCACAACTCGCGACCGCGGGCTGGTTCGACGCGACTGCCGCGCATGCGCAGACCGGGTTACAGCGTTACGTTCGATACGCGGGGATTGCGTCAAATAAGGGGAAGAGTGGGAATGTCGGACGAACGAAGGGGGAAGAAAATCACTCCGGGAGCCACGAAAAATTCATTCTACAGGGTGTCCCAAAAATGTTGTAACACCTTGAAAGGGGTGACTCGGGAGGTGATTTGAAACAACTTTTTCCTTTGCGAAAATGTTGTCCGAGGCTTCGTTGAGGAGATATTAACGAAAAACACTGACCAATCAGAGCGCTCCACCAGTATATGCGCGCTCTGATTGGTCGGGGTTTTCCGTTAATATCTCCTCAACGAAGCCTCGGACAACATTTTCGCTAAGGAAAAAATTGCTCCAAATCACCTCTACTCTGTATATACAGGGTGTCCCAAAAATGTTGTAACACGTTAAAGAGGTGATTCAGGAGGTGATTTGAAACAACTTTTTCCTTACCAAAAATGTTGTACGAAGCTTCGTTAAGAAGACATTAACAGAAAACCCTGAACCAATCGGATCGCGGTAGGGGTGGGTTACGCGTTAGGCGACCGTCCTCCGCTGGCATACTCGCGCTCTGATTGGTCCGGGGTTTTTTGTTAATATCTCTTTAACGAAGCCTCGGACAACATTTTCGGTAAGGAAAAAGTTGTTTCAAATCACCTCCTGAATCACCCCTTTCAAGGTGTTACAACACTTTTGGGACACCCTGTAGTTATTAACCCTTTGCACTCGGGTGGTGTCTCTAGGGCGACAACATATGTAATTTAAAAGTGATTTTGTGGAAGTGCAATTTCAAATTCACTTACATCAGAATACAACTAATTATTAATTGAAATAATACTACATTGAGTCGTGAACGTTCGTAGATGTTTTTCTTCGCAGTAGAGTTTTTGGTTTCATAGAAATTTATTATAAAATTGACTGGATTTGATTCTATAGAAAAATGCCTCGAGCGCAATTAAATCTTCTGCTGGAAAACGATGCCTATGGATTATACACCGCGTATCGAAATTGGTTAAACTTTGTCTCAGGGCTCCCCCTTCATTTTTTGTAAAAAATTAAAAAATCCTGTAGTTTTTTACCTGAAAAGTCCGAAAATACAAGTTAAAAGTTTCAGAATCCAATAGTTTAAAAGATACGAGTACATAAAGATGTGTGTATTTTTTAAACTATTGGATTTCTAAACTTGTATTTTTGGACTTTTCAGGTAAAAAAACTACAAGATTTGTAAATTTTTAACAAACAAAAAAAAAATGGGCCACTGAGACAAAGTTCAGCTTTTTTATCGAATTAGACTTATGTACTTTGTTATATTAAAAATACATCGTTAAAACCAAATTTTAGAAAATGAGAGATAGCCCCCAATACGCCATTTAATTTTTTCTTTATACGTCCTCCTTTGTTTTTGTATTTTTGTTTAAAAACAGCAATAGATTTTCCTATTTTTTATATTTATCCTGTCTAACCCTTACTGGAAGAGGAGTTATAGGACAAAATGCAATTTATAGTTTAAATTGAATATTTTTTGTTGTACTGTATCAAAGATTTTGAAAAAAGTTAGGGATATTCTCATGTATGGTGTACGTGTTTGTGAATTTTTTCAGAATTTTTCGCTGCAAAATGGATTTTAAAAAAATTCTAGAAGTTTTCAAATAATTTTTTTAGTAGAAATTATGAAATGACCAGGTTCATATTTTTACACTGTTAGTGTTTTGTTATGATATTACTAATCTATGTTGGAAAAATCAAATACCCACATTTCTTTATATTACTACCTTAATTTTTCATGTGACCTTGTTCATCTAAAAATTAAGTTATCATTGATGTCTTTTTAAGTATTCATGGATGACTTTGATATTATTACTTCTCTGCGGGCAAAAGGTAGGAAATATCGATTTATAATTTTTTTGTATGTGATGGACCTCTACAAAAAATCTGAAAAAATTATATATTGATAACAATAATAAGTTATTATAACTGTCACAATATGAGCATGGTCACATGAAAAATAAGGTAATAATATAAACAAATGTCGGTTTTTGATTTTCCAACATTGTTCAGTTACTTCCAAAAATCTGAAAAAATTACAAATTAATAATCATAACAAAACACTAACAATGTAAAAATATAAACGTAGTAATTTCATCATTTCTATTAGAAAAAATTAGTTTTAAACTTCTGGAATTTTTTTAAAATCCATTTTGCAGTGAAAAATTCTGAAAAAATTTACATACACGTACACCATAAAGTAGAATATCCCTGATTTTTTTCAAAAGTCTTTGATACAGTGCAACAAAAGATATACAGTTTAAACTGTAAATTGCATTTTGCCCTATAACTCCCCTTCCAGTAAGGGTTAGATAGGAGTTTAGATAGGATAAATATAAAAAATAGGAAAATTAAAGCGTTACGTCTATGTTGTTATATTTTTGTAGTAATGTTTTACTTTACCCTTTTCGTTAACTTAATAATGATTAATTACGTACAAAACGAATACGTAACCACCATAATTTATTAGTGTGTTTTGCAACGCTACAATTTTCATTGACACAACGCTGTTTATTTGAACCGTTAGATCGATCGAGGTGAACTCGAAATATAACGAAGATGCGACGAGTAATCGTCGCAAAGATGGGAATTTCTGCTAAGTAAGCAGAACAGTTTCGACGGCAATCAGAGCGTTACCAGTTAACCGAGTTTTTTCCTCTTGTATTCTTTTTTTATCGTTCTTTCCCTTAAAAAATGATTCTTTCGCTTTGCTATCCTTAATTATGATCTGAAATTATGCGCTCCCTGTAACAGAGTAGTTTGCATGAAAAATTCATAGAACCTTGAACTCTGTGCACGGAATATTAGTTATTAGGTTTTGTCTTCGAATAAGGCAATCTCCTCCTGCTCATTTAGAACATCACTTCAACATACAGAACAGGTAGATGAAATCTAATCACTAGACTGCGAATCTTTGTGCAAAATAAAATCTTTGTTATATAAAAATTGAACCTAAATTGGAATTTTTTTTTAAATATTATATTGCATAGTAAATTTTGTAGTTTTTTTTGTAGTTTCTTGGATATTCGAATTCCCTATGAATGCATAAAAATCCGTGATCTATTTATAAGGTTTTCAACGAAAGGGAGAATTTAAATAAGAATAGTAGAGAAATACAAATGTTCTGTTTGCAGAAGTTGGTTTATAGGAATGTGTGTCATTAAGTCTTTTAATTATAATTGTATTTTAATTATTAATTGAAATAATACTACATCGAGTCATGAACGTTTGTAGATGTTTTTCTTCGAAGTAGAGGTTTGGTTTCGCAGAAATTTATTATAAAAATGGACTGAATTTGATTCTGTAGAAAAATGCCTCGAGCCAAGATTAGCCATCGTTGGCTAGTTGGAACGAAAAATCAGTCTGTTGCAGAGTAATTAGCAATTAATGCCCGTAGTGCACTCGATCGATTTCTGGAGAGTGCGGAGCTCACAAGTCATTCCCTCCCCTGACTCCGAGCATGGTTACTGCCAATGCCCTTTCCGCTGCAGACTGCTGAAACTACCACCGGCTGCCAGAAACTTTCCACCCCGACGGATATTCTCCGGGCAACAAAGGCCCAGCCGCAGTTCGCTTTATGGCGTCCATTAACATACCGAGCGCATCTGCCAGAACTGCGCACGTTCAAATTGGAGAGACCACAGAGAGAGTACTTTAAACGGTAGCCTAAGAGTATCCAAGGGATGATATAAGGGGTTGGTTGATCACATTTTACGGACACCCTATATATTACATATTAATGTACACTGTGCACCCACGAGTGGGATTCATCGTCCGAGATTTAAGTTATGTATTAGACATTAGACATGTATTTCACGCTTTAATTATATCATTAGAAATTATACAGGGTCTCTCAAAAATGTTAGAGGCCCTTAAAAGAGCTGGTTCGGGAGGTGATTTAAAACAACTTTTTCCTTAGCGAAAATGTTGTCCGAGGCTTCGTTACGGAGATATTAACATTAAACGCCGGACCAATCAAAGCGCGAGTGGCTCGGTGGAACGCCCGCGGTAGGCCTGAGCAACGCGCTAGCGAACCGCCCTCCGCCGGCATACTCGCGCTCTGATTGGTCGGGGATTTCTGTTAATATCTCCTTAACGAAGCCTCGGACAACATTTTCGCTAAGGAAAAAGTTGTTTCAAATCACCTCCCGAACCACCTCTTTCAATGTGTTACAATATTTTTGGGACACCCTGTATATGGATATTAGGATGGACCTTAGCCACTTTTGATGACAAATTTCTTTCGAGATCTGCAGCCTAGAATGTTTCTTTTGGATGAGAAAATATTTTACGCAAAATTTGAAGTCGATTGGATAAAAAGGACCACGTGGCGCAATATAGTTGAAAGTTTCGAAAAAGTTGCAACTCATAGTAACTATACTAATATTATAGGTCTTTGGATTTGTATTTTTTTTCTAAATATGAATATGACAAACCGAATATATGTGAATTCTCAAAATAAATAACAATGACCTCGAAAGTTCGAAAATTTTACTTTATAGACAATTTCTTTTTGACGTTATATTTGCCTCGAAAAATAGTGTAACTTTTATTTAAAATTGCATCATTCCAAATGAAATCTCTAAAAAATATTAACAACATTCTTTTCTGCTGACATAAATAAGTAATAAAATAAATACTATTGTTGGACTTCCAATCAAATTCTAATTTTTAATAAACGAGTCACTGTTAAACTGTTAAACAAAACTTATATCTGGACGCGAATTTTGCCCACCTCTGGTTTACGCCAACCACCGATTGGGAATCGATGTTTCAGTTATAACACTCGCTTATTCGAGAAGGCATAAACTTCTCAAGTATCGAGGAGATGTATATTAACATATATATATATTTATTTATATAATATAATAACACAACTAATTCTTATTATTGCGAATTACATATTACAAGGAAAAATGGAGATTAATTA